ATGTAAGATTATATCCCTTAACAGTAGGCTCACATATTTAGTACATTAGATTGGACAAGATTAATAAAGAGAGAAATTCGTGTTTTTTGTCCGTCATGCTGCTTTATCGAGTTAAGCACTCGAAAGAGTCAAGAAAAGTTCTGGAACGCATTAGAGGAAAGTGTTGAGATTGTTTGGTCCGGTGGACTAAACTATATCGGATATGATTAAGGAAGATAAAAGAAGCGAAGTTATATGCTTTGTTACCTGGCATTGCAACTGAGTTTTAACGACGTCCAGGGGAGTCGTTACTGCAGCAGCCAATGCTCCGGAAGCAGCACCGGCAGTTGCGTGCACCAGCAAAGTCTCGTCATCATCCCCATCACCACCACTCTCCGGCGACATCTCCATCAAACACCTCTTGGCCGCCTCGTAGGTGGCGAAATGAACTGCAGTAAACGGCGCATTCATCACCACTGTAGTCCTATAACTCGCGTAAAAAGCCCCGATCCCCTCTTCCACCGCGACCCTCTTCATACAATCCGCCATCCCTTTATACGGACTGCCCTTTAACTGCAGCCTTTGCTTCACCACATCCATCGGCGTCAACACGGCATCACTGGCTACAGTAGCAAAAACACCAGAAGCTGCATGTGCCATTGAATTGTTTGGATTTTCTGCTGATAGAAATTTCTTGCAAGTTTCATATACTGAGAAGTACACTGCATGAGCAGGTCCGGCACCTAATCCCATTGCAGCAATGCCTCGGTAAAGGCCCCCGAGGCCTTCGAGTTTCATGATCGAGCCGAGGGATTGCCGGAGAGTTAATGCCGGCATTTTGTAGGAAGAAGTAATGGCTTGCATTCGAGTTTTTAGGGTGTCTACTGGAAACATGGCCATGTGCTCTACAGAGCCGGCAATGGAGCCTGCAATCATGAATTGCCAGAACTCGAGGCCATCGTGGGTTGGTGGCGAGGCTGCAACTTTTTCTTGATATAATTCCGATGTCTGGTGAAAGCCTGGGGTATCCGGTGTGCTGGCAGTGGTGGTGGTGGTGGTTGTAGTTGTGGTTGTCATAGTGGTTGCAGTGAGACTCTGGAGAAATTGTGCTAGTAGGGTAAGGGTTTAAAAGGGCGAGTTGATTGTGTGGGACAGTTTAATATATTAGAACTAGGACGAAGTTAATATCTTCAATTAGTCTCGAAGATATGATATGTGAATAATTTAATTATTCATACATTGTCTTGAACGAATAACTTATGCAATTTCATAATACTGTGTTGAATCACTTTCAATTAAATACTTAAATTGTTAAAGAGATAAGCAAAATCATTTAATTAAATCATGTATAAGATAAATGACACGTATATGAAGATTGTTTTCGCAATGTCACCATACAAGAATTTATTTATTTATATATCGAATGAGAATCAATGAAGAGATATGTAGAGGATGGATCTTTCAATGTATAATTTGTTTTTTTTCCCCAAGGATGGAATCAGAAAAAAGAAAGTTGGGAATGGAGGAAAAAGGTTGTATCAAGTGTACCATTACATGAGTAGGAATAAAGAACATGTAATCTAGTACACATCCAATAATGTTCAAAGGTCTTTTAAAGAAAGCCAGAATCATGGCATGCTTGGTGAGCTAACTCGACAAAGTATGTCTAATTCTCGATAAATTAGCCCTCTGGGGTCAGCTACTTGAATCTTATTGAGTGTGCGACCGAGAAAAAAAGAAGAGAAAAATTCGATATAGTGAAGATATGATAAAGAAGAGGACGTGTGTTATCCACAAGCCTTTTGTGGTGCTTTTAGGGTCACAATACTCCATAATTCAGCTCAAAAGGAAGAATATATTGAAGAATATCGTGTGGTGTCCACGACCACGAGTACCTTGAAGCATTTAACTTCTTCAAAAGCATAGTCCAAAATTGACGGACCAAAGTAGATTAGCAAAGTGATGACAATGAGAATTCTTGTCCAAACATGAACCGAGGCCCAAGTCCCACCCCAACCCAGTGGCGCTCGTGTCATATTTTCCATTGCAAACAACTTGTAACGGAAAGTGATCGTTAGTGTACACAAGACTAAAACCTAACTTTATCTTAGCGACGGCGAACTCTAGAGTTAGTATTTTTCCTCTTTAAAATTGACAATCCATATTTGCAACTAAGAAATTTCATGATAACAATCTTCATCTCTAAGCATCCTAGTCCATGGCAAGAATTGTCCACGAATGAGTGTTTATTACACACATCGAGTAGACTTCTACTCAACTATAGTAGTTCCTTTTTCTCTTTGTATCTACTCGAGATTCGTGAACTCAGCTATAATAGATTCTTTTTGTCTACATATCTACTCGAGTTTCATGAACTCAGACATGCATCTCTCTTTTAATAATCATGTGAAAATCAAAAGAAGATGATGATAAAAAATCTAAGTTTGTTCCCTTGACAATTTAAGAAATGTACACACACAATTTCCCTGACAGTTGGTTACCTTGATTTATTTTCTGAAAACAATGTTTTGAAAAGAAGAGATGATGTGAGTGAGAAATTAAGGAGACGTGGGGTGGGAAAGTGTGTATAGGAAATGAAGCCATTAAAACAAATTATAAAAATTCATTAAAGAGGAGTTCCTTTTGCATTTGAACCAAAGCAAAACATGCATAATGAAAAACGAATGATAAAAACCATTAAATGAGGCCAGCAAAGCAATTAAAACTATTGACACCGACCTCCGAGGTCATTAAGCTCAGAAAGATTGAGTACCATTAGCACAACACGTGATTGAGCTCGGTAAGATATTGAGCTCGATAGTATATTGAGTTCGGTAACAAGCCAAGGTCTGAATCAGTCTATAGTATCATTGGATAATGTAATAAGTTTGGCTGGGACGAGATCAACTCGTTAGGTATGTCTTCGTGGAGA